TTCATTGCTGGGCTCCTGATCATACCAGACTCCATGGGTGCCCTCATTTCCTAGAGACTAGCATAGTACGTTTATATACCCTATGCACATCTTGCAAACTTTAAGTCAAGCCAAGATTATGCATAGTAAATACCATGGACATGCTGTGACCCTGGCATTATACTGTCTCATTGAAAGAATGATGACAAGAAGGAAAGAGTATACATGTGTTCAATCTTTTCTGGTTTTCAACCTGCAACGGGTTGAATCTGAAGATGCAGCCTCCAAAGGCACCGAAGCTGAGCACAGAGGCCAACCACACATGCCTTCCATACTGAAAGCATACCGCCTGCCACGGGCCTAGGCCAGAGAGCTTGCAGACCAAGAACCTGGTGTCAGCACCAGTGTTGCTGTAGACTCTACCATGTATTTTACAACTAGGGAGCTTTGCAGAATGAATCTAAATAACATAAAAATAAAAGGCATAACTTCATCTTGTTCATAGGCCACTTATCACATCAAAGAATATAGTGATGAATACCAAATTATACGTAGCTTGGAAAGAATAGTTATCTTGGTCATTATTTTACTATTTGAAAATGTGTGAACAGACACTGTGTAAGAAAATTTCACAGCTTTCTTGTAATTTTCATCTTATGGAATTTTTTTTTAACCATCTGTCTTATGGCTGAGAATGGGGAAATTTTCATTTTCTTGGTTACCTCTTCATAATATCAAGTTAGTTCAGAAATTCAAGCTATAGGAAAATAAAACCCGGCTTCTGACTCCCAATTTAATGTTGGCATTTAATGTTATATTAAGCATTCTCCAATGAGATATTCGTGGGAGAGGAAACCTGTATGAAGTATAGTATTTGATATTTAGTATTTGGAAATGCTTTTCAGGTTTTATGTCTACATAGAAAACAAAACCAGTGATCAAAAGTGAAATTCCCTTATAAAATTAACATAGCTAATGATAAACTATGGTAAAGATTTTATCCGTAGGTAATTTTCAGTTTCTGCTGAACCAACCTCTAAAGCCATTTCAATTGCTTGAAATTCACTTTTCAGTCTTAGTACGTTATTATACCTGATTTTGAACTCCAGCCACTCTCTTTACTATTTTCATCATTCAAAGAGCTGTTTTTTCTTCCATTATTAAGATGTGATATGTCATAAATGTGTATTTTTAATTCTTACTCCTTTTCCACACTGCTGTCAGGAAAAATGCAGACTAAACATTTTAGCTTTTTTTTTTTCAAATCCTTGTTAATTTACTTCCATCAATTTTTTTTTCATATTTCTTTCTACTTGGCAATTCTCTTAACTGCTCACCTAAAACACCAGTACATTCATTATGATGCTGAGTGCCAGTGGCTCATACCTGTAATCCTAGCTCTTTAAGAGGCTGAAATCTCAGCATTGAGGTTCAAAACCAGCCCAGGCCGGACACTCTTCTCTCCAATTAAAAGCTGGACATGGAGATGTGGCTCAAGTGGTAGAAAGCCAGACTTAAGCAGAAAAAGCTAAGGGACTGTGCCCAAATCTTTATCTTGAATGTAAGTTGTGCTACTCTAGTCCTCAAGGAACATGAAACGGCTCGCACTTCACTTAGCTCCTACTGGAAACTCCCTTGGCACAGTCCCCAGGCCACACCCCTGAGGTGAAGGTCAAGGTGCAGAGTTCAAGCTCATTCCCATGGTGCACCCAACACAGCTCTGTCTGTGTTCTCTGGGGCTCGTCATGTTTCAGAACATGATTAGCAGATCCGCGGAGCCCCTGTGAAAATCTTGAATGGGAAATTGTGTGAGTGAGTACAGTGGGTGAGTCTGTGATATTTCTGGCTTTCTAGCATCCGTGTTTTATTTGGCTGTGCCCTTCAGAGCACAGAGCTGTGTCCCTGTGAGGAGCAGGCCCAGGGAGTTCCTCCTTGGTTAATGGCAGCTGCTTTTATAGTAGTTTTACAATTGCTGAACTTCGGGATACACAGCCCACTGGCTGCCTTCACCAGCCCTTGTGGATAAATGGAGAGCTTTAACTCATCACCCGGATTGGGGTTGGAGCACAAGAGCTAGGTTGCAAAGACCAGGAGCCCACCAACATGGGCTCTGGAATTAGATGAGAATTTTTCTTCTCAAAGGACTGCTACCAGGTGCCAGTGGCTCATGCTGAGCTGAGATCGGAGGATTCAAAGTTAGCCCAAAGTGAAAAAAAGCCAGAGAGACTCCAGCCTAAGCAGGGCTGGGAATGTGACTTAGTAGTAGAGTGCTTGCCTAGCATGCATGAAGCCCTGGGTTCGATTCCTCAGTACCGCATAAACAGAAAAAGCCAAAAGTGGCACTGTGGTTCACGTGGTAGAGTGCTAGCATTGAGCAAAAAGAAGCTCAGGGACAGTGTCCACCCAGGCCCTGAGTTCAAGCCCCAGGACTGGCAAAAAAAAAGATAAGCGAAGTTCCAAACTGGAGGCATGATGCAATTGGTAGAGTACCAGCTATGAACGACAAAGTTGAGCAAGTATGAAAACACTGAGTTCAAGCCCAATATCTGTCACGATTTTTAAAAAGGAAGACAACTGGTATTTTAAAATCACTTTATGTTTGTTTCTTTGAACTTAGAAATGGGTGTATTAACTTTTGCCAAACAAATATATTTTTCCTCTCCTGAAATGTTGATAAATACTCAGTAATCACCAACCCTTTTATTTTCCTTAGGGGCCAGTACTGGGGCTAAAACTCAAGGCCCAGACTCTATCTCTGAGCTTTCATGCTCAAAGCTAGCACTCTACCACTAGAGCCACAGCTCCACTTGTAGGTTTTTGGTGGCTCATTGTCTCATAGACTTTCCTGCCTGGGCTGGCTTTGAATTACATTCCTCAGATCTCAGCTTCCTGAAGAGCTGGGATTACAGTTGTGAGCCACTGGTGCCTGGCTTTTGAGTGATGTCTAATCTTGATACTGAGTGGTCACTGAGAGTGTCTTGGACATGTCCCCTTGTCTTCCCTAATGCAGGAATTTAGAGCCAATTACCTTGATTTTTGTGTTGGTCCATAGTATGAGAAGGTAGCTTTATGTGGCACTGAGGGCAGCCATGCAGGAGGGGGCAACAGGTTTTGCTCTGCAGAGCCTCCTTCACACAGACTGAGCTGTTCATGGATAATATGGAATCCTTCCTTCTTCCCTGTCCCAGAGTCAGATCCCATCATGCCACTTACTCTGGTTCTGCCAGCTTTGAGACAATATAGTGTGTGTGAGTGAGTGTGTATGTGTGTGTATACGCACATGCACGTGCATGCACGCACGCACATGTGTGCCAGTCTTGGGCTTAAACTCAGGGTCTGGGCACTGTCCCTGAGCTTCATTGCTCAAAGCTAGCACTCTACCACTTGAGCCATAGTACCACTTCCGGCTTTTTTTCTTTTTGCTTATGTGGTGCTGGGGAATCGAACCCAGGGCCTCAGGCATGAAAGGCAAGTGCTCTACCACTGAGCCACCTTCCCAGCCCAAAGCTAGCACTCTTATCACAGCTCTACCTTTGGCTTTTGGTTGTTCATTGGAGATTGAGTCTTACTGACTTTGCTGCCCAGTATGGTTTCAAACTATGATCCTCAGATCTCAGCTTGCTGAGTAGCTATGATCTCACACATGAGCCACTGGCACCTAGCAAGAGAATATATTTGAAGTTGTATGTCCAGCAGACTTCCCAGGCACATGCATAATTTTCATCATGAGAGGTGGATAAGAATGTGCCCCTCCTCAGAGCTCCCTTCCATCTGCAGTGATTTATGTTCTGACAATACTCAAGTACCTCTGAGAGAAACATACATGTCACTCTGACTTTACCATAGTCTACAAGGGGTCTCCTCTCCTCCTTTGCTCACGAAGAGTCAGGAAGAGCTGATGAGCATGAATTGTGGTTTAAGACCACATTTTAGCCACCAGAACCCTTTAAAGATGTCCGATTTTTTTAAAAAAAACATTTATTTCATTGACCAGCCCATTGAGACTTGCTAACTGGGCCATTTTTCTAAATCTCCATTTCCTAACCTTTGACCTTCCCCCAACCTATATACCTATAGCTACAGGATTGGCACAGGTCAAGCAGGAGAAGGTGTGAGGAGAATGGAAAAAAGTAGCAAATGATCTGGCATTGGTTAAGCACGGTTGCTCAAGCACTGGTTCATGGTCCGAAGAATGCCTCAGGGTCATCCTAAAAGATAAGACTAGCTAGAATGTAGAACTTCCTTTTCTATTTGCCTTCCTGCTGGGTGCATATAGGCGAGGGTTGATTTTTACCTCCTCTTGGCAACAGGGCATGCATCTCCTCGGTTTACCTATCAAAATAGTTACAATAACTCGGTGCCAGTGGCTTACGCCTGTAATCCTAGCTACTCAGGAAATTGAGATCTGAGGATCTAGGTTCAAAGCCAGGGCAAGAAAGTTCACAAACTCTTATCTCCAATGAACCACCAAATGGCCAAAAGTGAGTCTATGGCTCAAGGATAGGGTGCCAGCTTTGAGCAAAGAAAGGTAAGTGATAGCGCCCAGGCCCTGAGTTCAAGCCCCCATGTCGGCACCAAACACAAAAGATCTGCGTTATTTTCTTGCTCAGTAGTCCTATTTCATTCCTGGTTCTTTGCTAAATGCTTTAGTATGTAGTAAATACTATATGCTAAATAAATGAAATACTATACAGTGACGCATGTTAACTACCATAGTATTAGAGTAATCATATAGTATAATAAACACAGTTAAGTATGCTAAATCCTTTGTACATGTCTGTTTTCAACCACTTTTGTATTCTACCTTACCATTGCCACCTTGTCTCTAAAAGTCATTCTAAAGCTCTCCTGTTACTCTGCAGCTCCCCCTTGAGTCTGCCTAACCCCCTCCCGCCACCACACCAGATTGTCCGCAGAAATAAGGTATCGCCCCAGGTTGTTCAGACAAGTCTATCTGGGTTTTGAAGTTTTAACACAGCTCGAGACACCAGTGTGATGACAGGTGTTCTGTTTTATTTCAGCCACGTGACCCAAGAAGTACCAGAGGGGTTTTCTCCTCAGGATCCAAGAACTGTTAGTAGGAAGCAAAATGGCACTTCCGTTACACCAGCACCGCCTGCCCCGGACCTGGAAAGGGAGGAGGAAAAAGATGACACTTCAGATCCCATGGACCCGAACCCCTGTAGTGCAACATACAGCAATTTGGGTAAGTACATACGTCACAGCACTGTGCACTGGCTAATGTTCTGTCTGCCAAGAGAGATGGTTTTTATTGCTCCATGGAGAAAAAGTTGGAGTGATGGTTATAAATTTTAACTCACACCAGAAAGTAACAAACAAAAAATCCTATATATACTTATATCAAGCACCTGCTGCCCTGAGCCCAGGGCCATGTGCTAAAGATGCTGACAGGGTTCCTGCCTGGAGAAAGAGAAGTAACTTGTTCATAGATTCCATCTAACCTGATAAACATAATTATAGAGACACACATGGAAAGTTTTTGATGTTTCACAAAGAAGACTGTCAGAAGAAGGGGAGAAAAAAAAAAAACTTCCTGTGAGTAAGATGTCCCAGGTCCAGGGAGTAACAGGCAGCAAAACTGCAGACCAGACCAACCCAGGCACAAAGTGAGACCCAACTTTGAAAATAACCAGTCAGAAAAGGGACTGGGGGCATGGTTCAAGTGGTAGAGCACCTGCCTAAGAAAGCAAAGGCTCTGAATGAAAATCCCCAGTGTGGCAAAAAAGAAAAGCCTTCTTCAAGATAATTACTAAACTGACTTAACTGCTTAACAGAAGTAAGAAAATATTCCAACCAGAGGCAGGAAGTGAACAGCCCTGCAAAGATGCAAAATAGCATGGTCATTCACTAGAACCATTTAGTGTTACACAATACAGTTTGTTATTGGGGGTTTCTTTGCTATTATAGTGAACCATCAAAGAATTTTAAGAAGAGAGATAGCCAGGTGTTAGCTGCTCATACCTGCCAGTCTTGAGCAAGAAGCTAAAGGGAACACACTCCAGACCCTGAGTTCAAGCCTCACTACCAACACAAAATAAGTTAAAAGTCATGATTATTCCAGTTGCTGCTGGCTCACACATGTAATCCTAGCTACTCAGGAGGCTGAGATATGAGGATCACAGTTAGAAGCCAGCCCAGCCAGGCAAGAAAGTCTATGGAACTCCTATCTCAAATAAACTACTTAAAAAAAAAAAAAAGCTGGAAGTGGAGTTGTGGCTCAAGTGGTAGAGCACTAGCCTTGAGAAAAAAGCTCAGGGACAGTGCCCAGGCCCTGGTTCAGGCTCCCTGATTACTTTGAGTGCAGAAATACACCTTATAGATGTTTTTAGAAGAAAGATAGCTTCCTTATACCTTAAATATATAATACTCATAAAATGCTGCCCGATCTTCCTTAAGTGTTTAAGTGTCTCTGCACTTGGACCTGTGGGTTTTGACACATGATTAAATCACTTCTTTGTGAGGTAATGAGGTTCACTTTATAGGTTCTTCAAGCTGAGGTTTGGGGGTTGTTTCTATCTTTTTTTAATACTTTCAGCAAATTGTTTCGATGCAGCTTCATACTACTCCTTTGAGTAATTCTTTATCATTTAAAGCTCTGATATTTTAAAACAGTACAATAGTTATGTTTAAACACTGAAAGGAGCTGGGCACCAGTGGCTCACGCCTGTAATGCCAACTACCAACTATATAAGAGGCTGAGATCTGACGATTGTGGTTCAAAGCCAACCTGGACAGGAAAGTCTGTGAGACTCTTATCTCCAGGAAACTACTCAGAAAAAGCCAGATGTGCTTGAACACAAAGAGGCTCAGGTTCAGCATCTAGGCCCTGAGTTCAAGCCCCAGGACTGGCAAAAATAAATAAATAAAAATGGTCACTCCTTACAGAGTGATGACCTTCCTGTGGGTAGTGGTCACCTGAGATCACTAGATGATCTGACTTTAATTCTTTCCACATTAGAGGCTGTGACTGCCACCCAAAATGATTTTCCTGACAATGGATACAAAATCTCTTTTGCCATAACCGTCTACATTGCTCCAAGTCCATTACAAACCATCTGGAAGAAAAATCGCTGTTTGTTTATGCCAATCCTGGGGCTTGAACTCAGGACCTGGGTACTATCCTTGAGCTTTTTTGTTCAAGGCTAATGTTCTACCTCTTGATCCACTGTTCCACTTCCAGCTTTTTTTGGTGATTAATTGGAGATGAGACTCCCAGATTTTCTTGCCCAGGCTGGCTTTAAGCCTTCATCCTCAGATCTCAGCCTCTGAGTATCTAGGATCATAGGCATGTGCCACTGGCACCCAGCTTGCTGGTGGTTTTTGTTGTGTTGTTGTTTGTCTGTTTTGTTGGTTGTGGGACTTGAACTCAGGACCTGGGAGCTATTCCTGGACACTTCTGCTTAAGGTTAGCACTCTACCACTTGGAGCCACAGCACCACTTCTGGTTTTCTGTTGGTTCATTGGAGGTAAGAGTCTCACACACCTTCCTGCTCTGGCTGGGCTTGAACCCCAATCCTCAAATCTCAGCCTCCTGAGTAGCTAGGATGACAGGATGAACCACTAGCATACAGCGTTTTTGCTGGTTGTTTTATATAGGACATTTCTGACTGCTTTATCAACCTGCTAAAATCAGAAGGAACGCGTAAGGAGTTCTCTCAGAAATAAGTTGATGACGTTTGCTCTCCTTCATTCACTTTGTAACTGAGAACTTTATCCGTTGCTTTTTAAAAAAAGATCTATTAAGTCTCCCTTTGCTCGACAGATTTTTGGCTCGATCCCTTTCTGTATCTCTGCAACCTAGCACATTATCTAAAACACCCAGGAGGTGCTAAGAGTGTGTTTGAATGGATGAGCTAAAAATGACTGTGGTGTCTGACTTTTGGAGATTCTCAAGGGAGGGAAATCTGGCAGCACTCAGAAAGGTTCAAGTCACAGTTTAGGCGCTCCATTAATCCGCAGACTTCCCCCCCCCCTAATATGGGACTAAATCCACAGGCTTCCTAGTTAAGGAATCATAAAAACCTTGGCTCTGCTTCCTTTCTATATATCCCCATGAGACTCCATCCACATTGCTCATTGTAGTTCCTTTGAGCATGTGCTAATGGACACCATTTCCTTTCCTTTAGGAAAGGTAATGAAAGGAAAACACCTGAAACACCAGATCTCAGCATCGTGTTGGTTGTCAATGTTAAATGTTAAGGGCTTGGATATACCTAGAAGACTGTCATGACTGCTGGCCTAGCCTTAATGTTGTAATTATGAAATAATGTCATTAGAAATGCCAGCTTCCTAACACTCATTCTAAAGAGTACATTTCCATTCATTCATTTACTCAATAAACAGTTACTGAGCAGACATCCCCACACAACGCTAAGGATTTGAACTAAAGATTTTAAAATGCAGTTTTAGCCTGGCACTGGTGGCTCAAGCCTATAATCCTAGCTACTCTGGAGGCTGAGATCTGAGGAACATGATTCGAAGCCAACTCAGGACAAGAAAGTCCATGAGACTCTCATCTCCAATTAGCAAAAAACAAGCTGGAAGTGGAGCTGATGCTCAAGTGGTAGAACGCTAACCTTGAGTGAATAAGCTAAGGGATAATGCCTAGCCCTGAGTCCAAGCCCAGTACCAGCACCAAAACATAGAGCCAAGCACCACTGGCCCACACCTATTATCCTAGCTACTTAAGAAGCTGAGATCTGAGGATCACAGTCTGAAGCCAGTCCTGGCAGGAAACTCTGTGAGACTCTTATCTCCAATTAACCACCAAAAACACCAGAAGTGGAGCTATGACTTGAGTGGTGGAGTGCTAGCCTTGAAATAAAAGCTTAAGGACAGTGCCCAGGCCCTGAGTTTTGAAGCCCCAGGATGGCACCAGGGGAAGGAGGGGGAGCACTAAGGTTAACAGCTTTAACATTTGTTTGCACATTTGTTGTACTTCTTTCTATTTTAAAATAAATCCATTTATTCCCTTTTGCTACATTCATATTTAAAAATAGTTTTGCACATTCTAGAATCTGTTGACTGAGTGAAATATTCAAATGACATAGATAACTTGTCCCCAAATAAATAATGGTTTTTTTCAGAGAGATTTTCACTGATGAGGCCACAGGAAGAGCGTGTGTCTCAGCTGCTGCTGTGCTGAATTCTTTACATTGGTCTGCGCATCTGAGGCTCAGTCCAAAGTGCTCTTTGGAGATCAGTTGTCTTACTGTTGGGCGGGCGGCTGTCCCCTCCGCTGTGCCCATTGTGGCTTACATTTCACTGTGGCAGGAGACACGGTGATGAGACCTAGGTAAGGCAGGTCCTTTCCTCCCATGAATCTGCTGCCTCCTGCCAGTGCCTGGTGGAGAATGATGTGTTCAGCTAATGAGAGGCGCTAGCCTTTGATTAGGCTAGCAGTGATGGCGTGAAGTATCTATGCACGTAAACTGCAGTTTGGACATGATCGTCTTCTTTCTTCCTCTCTCTCTCCCTGCCTGTCTCATCTGTTTTACTTACCTATTTTTGTTGTTGCTGCTTTTTGTTCATCGTGGGGCTTGAACTCAGGGCCTGGGTGCTGTCCCTGAGCTCTTGTGCTCTACCACTTTGAGTTTTTGCTGGTTCATTGGAGATAAAGAGTCTCATGGACTTCGCTGCCTGGGCTGGCTTCAAACCATGATCTTCACATCTCAGGCTCCTGAGGAGCTAGGATGACAGGTGTGAGCCACCAGTTCAATCAGGATTTTTTTGTGTGTGATAATTCTGGGAGCCACCTGTGGACAATTGGCAGCAGGGAGATTGATGAGGAAACCATGCCATTTGTTTCTTGTTTGAAAAGATCTAACTGTGGACAAAGGCTTCTCCTGTCCAAATGGGTTGTCATTAATGTCTTTCATCCCTAGGACCTGGCACTGGAAGGTTACCAGGTGATAAGCAGACATTTGTTAGGTGTCTTGGGGTATCTTCGTGATACTGCCTTTCAGTAGAACAGTGTAACCATGCAGTTACTGTTCTGAGTTTTCTGTATGCAATCATCTTTAAAATTATTTGGAGGGCCGCCCAGTAGCTCAGGTCTGTAATCCTAGCTACTCAGGAGGCTGAGATCACAGGATCACAGTTTAAAGCCAGCCCTGGCAGTAAAATCCATGGGACTCTTACCTCCAATAAAGCACTCAGAAAACTGGAAGTGGCACTGTGGCTCAA